TTATTTTTCTAATGAATTTTAATAAATATTATTATTTTTTATTATTATAAAGATAAATATAATTTATTTATTTCATATATACAATATAGATGTCAAATCGAAGATCATCTTTTGATTAATTTGATATATTATATATGTAAAACTGATAAGAAATACAAAAGTTATCAACTTTTAAAATACATATATAATTCAATAGCTTATTGAAGGAAACAAATCAAAATTCAGGGATATATTAGTCACTTAGTGCCTCACTATGTAAAATTACAAAGAATTAAAGGGTTATATTAGTAAAAGTGATATTAAAATACCTAAGTTAACTAAATAATATTTATGGAATACCAGAACCTAGATTATTAATTATTAATATATCAATATTATTTATCCAAACCTAATTACGAAGCATGATTCTTCGCCAAATAGGATTCCGAAGCAGCCACGTAGGCTTAGCGCATTCGGGAATTATATATAGGGAGGATTATATATAGGGAGGATATCATCCTAAACTGCCACCAACTATTTGCAATTGAGATAAAATACACTCGGTATACCACTCCTTTTTGTATAACAGTACATGATACATGGTTCACAAACTTTGTCCCAGAAGGGCATACGTTTAACATAAATAGCATAACCATTAGTCTTTAATTTCTTACTTGATCCATATCAAACGAGGCCCCCAACTTCTGAAAACATGAGATGACAGCCTTGGCAGTTCCAGAAATGTCCTTCTTTCCAGCTTGATGTGACTCCATTACCTTATTGAGATTTCACAAGGAAGAGCAAAATAAAGAGACAAGTTGATTAAGTCTAGCAAGCGGACCATATGGTCAACATACTTCAGAAATAATCCATGAAAAATAAGCCAAAAAAAAAAAAAGATGTAAATCCTAATAAATATAATCTGTAGACAACAGTATGCTAAGAGCTGTCGGAAAAGGGGGAAAATAAGAACCTAATGACAATTCTTGGATTAATAGCAAAAGAGTCAAACAAGAATGCAGTAAAACTTAATGGTGACCAGATCAGATAAGTTACCTGAAGGTCATACCCAGAAAATGCACCAGGAAATTGCTCGGCCATTATTTCCATGGCCGCAAGAAAAGCTACCACCTAAAAAGATCACTACAAAAACTTCATACTAATAAAATAAAAGAAAATATAGCAACTCATTGTCAACTACAAAATAATTGCAATTATTCTAGCACCTGTTTACCCATTTGAGGAGAAATCACAGCATAGACCTTTGAGTCAGAGACAGTCTTATACAAAAGCTCCCTATCTCCTCCCGTAGTTCCCATTACAAAAGGAACTCCAACTTTGCAATATAATGCAGCATTGTCTGCCACACAAAAGCCAATCTTGAGATTGATTAGCATATTGAAAATGGGAAAGTGTAAGTATAAAAATTCAGATTTTGAAGTATGCCAATGCTTCGGATCAGTGAGACTCAGCAGATGGAAATTTGTAGAAATCAAATGTATAAACGAGTCATAAAATGACGAGTTTAAACTTTTACCCCACAGAGAAATCATTTCTATCATAGATTAAGAGACAATAAATCACTCCCTCAAACAAAGAAAAACAAGTGAAGAAAGTTCTAAGACTTATCCAGAATCTGCAAACCCCTTCACAATTTTGGCAGAAAGTAAAAATGAATCAATACCAAAATTTAATAGCTTTTCAGGAAAAGCATAAAGAAATCATTTTCAGAAAGATTAGATGCAGCAAAATTAAATGACTACTGAAGCACAAATGTACAAATATATTATGCATGATATTGAAGGACCATTTCCAACATCTTTGTATTCCAGTTTCAAACTGCAGTAGATCTCACTGGTTATAAGAGCAAAATGATAAGCACTAGATTTAATACAAGAGAATTTGATTTTATTCATTCCATTAAGGTTTAGTATGTTTCATTTCAATGTATATTTTACCTAAGCTGCAGCAATTGAACGTAAGACGTTTGCTTGCTCTCAAGTAAGGTTTTTCAGTAGAAGTACCAAAAGCAAACTAGTCAATTAATTCAATCATAGCTAACCCCTTCGCATTCAATCGACGACTCCGACTCGGATCCTAACCATAGGTCAGCCAAACAAAAGCAGTACAAAATTCTGAGCCAATTGATTTCAGCACATTATATAAGTTTTCACGAGCATTACAAAATTCTAAGTAAAATCTTGCGTTTACAGAACGCTTTTGATACAATTTGTGTAAATTGTAATAAATAATACAAACATGAAATGTCATTTAGCCCCTGCTACACTTCAATTAAACCCTAAACTCTAAAACAAAGTCGGAATAAACTCACCATTCACGGCAGCCGGCACTGTATAGTCCACAACAATCAAGTTCGGATAATCGTTGAATACAGAAGAAAGGATCGACTCTCTGTCGGATGGCCCGTGTACCTCGATCTGTTTCCCACCAAAATCTAAGATTTTCCCTGAATCCTCTTCGCCGCCCAATGCTACAGAAACAGGGTTAAGTCCAGCAGTCATGGCGGCTTCAAGAACAGCCCTGCCCATTTTCCCAGTACAACCATTCACCTACAAGTAAGTAGTAACGCACAAACGTTTCAAATGGTCGGCTTTAGTGAAACACAACAATAAAACTTCAATCATGAAATCGCTAGCAATTAAAAAAACGAAAGAGAAAAAGAATCAGAAGAAAGAAGAAAACTTCAAATCTACCATGATAGGGATCCCAACATTCTTCGGTTCAACCGTAGGCGCGAGCTCTACAGACCGTGATTGTGTGCTTGCCATGGGGATCGAAAAATTTCGCCCAGTGGGGAAGCTATAGCTTAATCTGGAAACCGCTGGTTTCACAGTTTTCAGAACCGAATAAGGATTTTGCAGGTTAGCGTGTTCGCGTCTGCTCGCCAAGCTGGGGCTTAATGGAGCTTTGACGACGAAGGCCATTCAGGAACAAAATGCTGTATAAATCTAGCGAAATTTGAAGGAAATATATGAGCAATGGTTAGCGTGTTTTAATATCGCCGGCG